TTTCTGTCTCTCTGTCTCTCTGTCTTCCTGGCAAGCGTATGCTCCTTGTAGCAAAAACCTCTCAAAAAAAAAAAAAAAAAAAAAAAAAGAACCCACAAAAGCCAAAAAAAAGAAAAAAAAAAAAAGCAAAACAAATAACTATCATCATTTGTGTGTGTTTTAGAATATACGTGAGTCCTGTTGTAGGAAGTGTTGAATCTGTAGCATGTGCTCTTCTAGGGCACTAGAAAATTAACTTTCTAGATGGTAGTTTAGGATTCTTTGAGGTGTCATTTATTTTTCATATTTGGTGATTTGTGAAATTGTTATCTACTGATTTTACATGGTATTTAGATAGCCTGGAACATTTATAGAGAAAGAAGTTTTATAATAGAGTAGAAAGAAAAAAGACTGAACCATGTAGACATGGGTTCACATGCTACCTCTGGCCATACTTACTTGCTCCATCTACGTGAGCAAGTTACTTTTACCTTTGAGGCCCTCAGTTTTCATGCAGAGGCACATAGGGGCATATGAAGGGTAGACATCGTATCTCCCATTCTGTTCCATAAATATTCCAGCTAAGTAAAGTGGTTGTGCTTTCTTGGCACATCAGGATTTAAACCTATACCACCTCAGAAACATATAGTCTAGTAAGCAGGATGCTTACTGCTCTGCAAGAAGGGTTGGAATCAAGTTCTGTCTGCTACCCCCCACTCCCTTCTGTTTTGCCACTTCTAGGCATGTGATATAAAGAGATTCTGGCACTGCTCACTTCCCTCATCTGTATCATACCTGCCTATTGAGGGATCTTGTGAAGATTAGCAAAGATATGCGTAAAGCTTTTCGTGTAGTTCCTGATACGTGGCAAGTATTCAATAAAGGATAATGTTAAATTTCAATGATTTTTGTTGGATACTTGATTTTACCACCATCAGTAGAACCCATAGTTCTTGTTTGAGGACTTAAACTGCTTTGTCAGCTAGATGTGTTGCATTCATTGCCTCAGTGATTCTCAAATACTGTAATTTCTAGATGATCCTGCTTATTAAATAGTCACTGTCCCCGCCTTTTCCTCTTTTTTTGTTACTATAAAATGAAACTATTTCACTAGGATTAGTAAGGGAAATGGTAGTGATTTTAATGAAATATTAATGAAGCGATAGCTGGGTTTTACATACCAGGCTTAGTAATGATGACATGATATGGTGCCAGCATTAATGCCAAAGCCTTTGATCCAGCCTGATGGGACCTATACTATGAGAATTGATATTCCTGTTAGAGGAGGAGAAGAGT